ATATATTTATATATATATATGAAAAATATATCAATATTGATGTGGGTACTCAAATGAAAGGTCTCGATGAGCGTAACATCGTAATGAGCTTATATCTTCAAAAATGTCAATAAATAAGAAATTACCTTGTATCTTGTGAAATATTGACATTTTTAATGATACAAGCTCATTCTGATGTTACTTTCGTAGAGACCTTTCATTTGAGTACCCACATCATTTTTTCATATATTTTATATATTTATATATTTCACAAATATCATATATATATAAAATATATGAAAAATTGATGTGGGTACTCAAATGAAAGGTCTCGATGAGTATAACATTGAAATGAGCTTATATCTTCAAAATTGTCAATAGAAGTCTTCTAGATTAGAAAAAACCAATTTTAGATTTAGAAAACTTGCTAGTTCTTTTTTTTTGAACATCCAAAGTAAGAAAATTGAGTGAAGAAATAAACGATTCATGAAATGTCGAAATACTTTCAATTTTAAATTTCAAATTTATAATTAAATCTAGCTTTCAATGAAATGAAAAAGAAAAAAAACCAATGGGCGGTCCATTAACGAATTGAATAGTAAAATAAATAATACAGTATAAATATATTATATCCCCACTGAAACCCTACTGCTCAAATAAATGCAAGTCATTAATAAATGTCTGATCCTCCATCATTAGAAAAAAAAAATATATTCTTCTCTTGTAAGAAAATGTACATTAAATTTTATTTCAAAAGTAACCATGAAAAAAATTGATGTTGTTCATTATAGGTATTTATAATTTATACCTGTCAGCTCTTGATGAAACTTATCTATAAAAAAGTAACCAACTGGCTTTAAACCTGTTCTGATCGTTGCATACAGTGATACGAATCTCAACAAAATATTTGTTGGCTTTTACCGACATAGATTTTCCTTTACTTAAAATTTGTTTCTTTTTTTTTTTATCTTGAATCAAATAAGCCATTAAGGAAGATATACTTTTGATGGAATGGGGTCTTTTTGTTAGTAACTTATCTATGCACTGAAAAAAAAGTTTTTTTCCTCCTGTATGTCAGCATGCTAAATCCTTTATTTGTCTTTTTTAATTAGTTTTTTTTTAATTATCCTAAATAATTTATAGTTAAATATATAAACAATAATGTTTGCAAGGTTGAAATAATATAAAAGTCTTTTTAATAAACAACTTGATGTAGACATTTTGGACTTGTCCCACCAGTGACAAATGCCTGTCCCACCAGTCACAATAAAAACTAATTTTTTTAATTGTTTCTACGTAGGTAATCAGTCTAATTCTTCATAATATTCAATGTTTGTAGGATTAATTTTGTATTGAGAGAGAAGTATTTTTTTTCAGTTTAGTGGTCGAACTGAAATTGGACTTTAAGTATACCTTTGGTAAGAGAGAAGGATTTTTCTTAGTCCCACCAGTCACACTCAGTCAAATGATAATTACGAGAAACTTAAAAAGTAATGGAGGTTTTTGACAAAGGGATGTTGTTAATTAGTTATTCTTTTATATTATACATAGAAAAAAAAGTCATCTTGACTCGAGAAAATCATTTTCTTCAAAATTTACTTCATGTTTCAAGTTCTTGTTTATTTTTGAACTAATAATGTCATATACTTATCCCAAGTAAATCTTTCTCTTGGTTTGGAAAGTAGCGCCAACGTTGGTGACGTGATTTTTTGGAACTAAACCGAGATTTTTTTAATAAAGAATTAAATTTAAA